TTTCTGGCTGCCACACTTCTTATAACTTTAACAATTACTACTGATACCACCACCACCACCCAGCCTCCCCCCCCACACCACCCAGGGAATCAAAGCTTTAGTTGAACAATACCGATAATTCCGACGGGAAACCATGCTAGATGCGACTCTTCCCTCTCGCTCTCCAACACCACAGTTAGAAAGAAAATTATTGCTGTCCATGATGGCAAGCTCTTGCAGGAAAAGCTCAATGGTGCTCTCATCCCATGGATCGTGTGGGCATTTCCCCTAAAAATAAATAAATTTAAAGAGGGATGGCAAATATTTAGCATTGGTTTGTATTAAAGGAACACTACAGTGTTGGAAAACAAAACTGTATTCCTAACACTATAGGGTCACTGCCCCCAAGACGACCCTGCTTGCAAATAAGGGGTTAAAGACAATTTTTTTACCCCACTTACCGGATTCCTGTGCTAATATCCTTCGGCATTGGATCAAGCTCCTCCTCCACCAACCTGTAAAACCTAATGCATATGCGCGGCAAATGTCGTGTGCGCATTAGGCCTTCCCCACAGGACAGCATTGAATCTGTATTCCTATGGAGTTTTTCAACACACTGGACATGGTCCAATGCCGTTTCACAAAGTCAAACTCCGTGAAACAGCAGGAAGCACATCATGTGGCTGTCTGGTAGACAGCCACTAGAGGCAGTCTTATCCCTGCAATACAAAACGTTTTATATTGCAGGGTCAATGGCATCGCTGTATTTAGCGCAAGGCTAACAAAGGATTTGCTTTGGGTGGAACTTTCCAGGGGGCGGCAGAAAACGCAGCCCCCCAAAGTGCCCTGTCAAATACCTGGTTAGCCTTGACTTATGGGGGCCCAAGAGTTGACCAGCTGGCCACCCTTGACCCCCCAACCCCAGGGCGCCCAGACAGTTTCTATTACAGGTTGGCGGCGAGGAAGCACTGATCTGTGAGCCCTTCCTGCTCAGCTCCCTCACGCAACCCGTAGTGATGCCGGGAGCAGGAATATGACATCACTCCGGCATCCGCCATCACTAAGCAGCGCGCGAGGGAGGTGAGCAGGAAGATCACAGCTCCCTCGCCGCCAATTTTGCCTGTCCACCCTCCATCCTGCACACCTGCCCAGCAGCCCCACTGGACCCCAGGTAAAAATCCACCCAGCTCTCCCAAAGGTTGGGAGGCTGGGTGGATTTAAACTAAAATAAAAGTAAATAATTATTTGTAAATGTTGGGGGGAAATATGTGTGTGTATGTCAGTGCATGTGTGTGTCTGAGTGAGTGTGTCAGTGAGTTTGTCGGTGTCTGTGAATGTGTGTTTATATCGGTCAGTGTGTCTGTCAATGAATGTGTGTTTCTGTGAGTATGTATGTTTCTGTCAGTGATTGTGTGTATGTCTATCAGTGTGTGCCTGTGAGTGTGTATGTATGTGTCAATGTGTGTTCGCCAGTGCCTGTGTGTCTGTCAGATTGTGTCAAATCAGTGTGTGAGTGGGTGAGTATGTGGGTCTGCCAGTGAATGTATGTCAGTGTATCTTAGTGTGGAAGCCGGTCAGTGAGTGGGTGTGTCTGTGTGAATGTCAGTCTAAGCGTGTTAGTCTTTAACAGGAACGTGTGGCCTTGACAGGAAGGGGTGGGGAAAATTTAAATTAGGGGGTGCCAGAGTTCTGTCATGCCTAGGGCAGCACAAATTCAAAATACACCACTGGTTACGGGAACAGTGCAACCAGACCACTTCAATGAGATGAATTGGTCTGTGTGCCTATAATGAAGTCTCCCTTTAATGAAGAGATTTGGGGGATATCAATGAACATCATGTGACCGAGTGTTAAAAGGTTAGTGCAGCGGATGCGCTGTCAATATGACAGCCACAAGAGGCATGTTTAACCCTTCAAGTTAAACAATGCCGTTTCTGCAAAATAGCCATATATTAACATGAAGTGTTAAAATGAAAGGATCACTACAACTGGGCCATTTCATTGAGATTTAGTGGCCCTTTAAAAGGCAGAAACAATGAGGCCGTGGCAAAGATTTTTTGCACCCCTCTTTACTGAAAAAACACGTCACTGACTAAAAAGAAAACATCAATGGGTGAGAAGTGGGATAGACTGTTTCCTTATCTGTAATCCTACATATATGGTATGCCACTGCTGTTTAAAACACCCAATTATAGCGTACATTAAAAACAAAAAAATATATGTTTCAAATCCGTATTACAGATAAAATTAGGATTGTGTCACTCAAAAGTGAGATTTGGTAAATTCACAAAAAGGGGTAGGGGACATTTGAGATATTAGAAGTGTTGGAAAAACAAGTGAGATTTGGCAATGTCAGTTTTTTTTGTTTTGTTTTTCTCCTACCTCTGCACTGTTGAGCAACATTTTAGTTTCCCAACCTTTTTGCAAAGAGTAAAAAAAAAAAAAAAGGTTGAACACAGAACATGGGTGGATGTAGAATATGTGATAACATTTTCAAAATGGTCAACATTTGACATTGGAACTGCACAATCTGTATGTGTGTATCTATAGATAGACATATAGAAATATCATGCCTTTTAAAGCCATGATTCCTGTGCTGCTCTGTATTCTGTAGAATTCTCATGGCGTGAGAGGTAAGTTCAGTAACCACAACACCACCTTTAGGAGCTATACATAAAAGGACCAGTTTGGCCACCATAACAACTTCATCATTAAGATGTTATTGTGCCAGGAGGCCCCTGCCCTGGCTCACCTTAAGGGTTTAAGCCGCAGTCTATCAGTTGAACCCCTAAGTCTGTGATCCAGCGCCGAATCGCTCTGCCCTTCCATTTTCTTGACTGCGAGGGAGTTTTTATGGTGCCCAGTGTTGTTTTAATTAAAGGGTTACTCCAACCACCAATGACCACTTCAAAAGTGGTCATGGTGGTAGGTGTCTGGATGTGCAGGGGGTCAGCATGAAACACTGCATATCCAGAGATTTATTCCCAATTGTGTGCTGGGGAAAAGTTGCACCCACAGTACACGTGACTTAGGCAGCCCAGAATTTCGAGCTACGTAATGGCAATTCTTTCCAAAAAACTACATTTGTCGTCAGCACACAACAGATGTACCTCCCTCCTTCCAATCCCCTCCATTATTTATTTTTAGTTATCCGCCATTATCCTCCATGTTGGCGCAGAGCGCGTGCATGCGCCTTGAGCCAGCAGGAATCAATCTATGGTTTCGCTATGAGTAGCTTTTGATTGGACCTCAGCCTGGCTCCCCAAGACGGGAGTGAACCGAGCAGCGCATGGGGCTTTGCTTAGCGCTGGACTAAGGTAAATTTACTACATTAAAAAAAAAAAAAAACTCTGAAAATTTTTCTAGCGAAGAACACACAGAATAATGGCAGATAGGTCATTATAACCCTTTAATGGATATACTTCCAGCACATGAATTCTACATACTGCAGGGCAGCACTTTTCACTACAAACTCTGTATTCAGGCAGACACAGCGAGCAGCTGGCAAATGGAGAAGAGGAAAGACACCTTACACAAAACAGGTGGCTCTATCAGGACTACACATTCCACAATGCATTGCGGCACTGGCGTCACGTGACAGGGCTAAATGGGCCCGGATGGGGAGTTCGCTTACTTTCTCCACCAGAACCCGTACGAGCTGTTCGTGGGAGCGGCGGGCCTCCTTGCCCTGGCGGAGATAGGCGGCGGAGACCAGCCTCTCCCCCTCCCGCAGGCTCTCCTCGTTCATGGCGAGCGCTGACTGACACTGAGCAACGGAACTCTCCGGGCATGCGGGCACACCGCAACGGCTGGCTCCGCCCCCCCTCTAACATCCCAGCCAATCGCAGGTCAGCGTAGAAACGCGTCAGAGCACGATCCACCAATCGCCTTTGTAGATTGCTGTCAACTCAGCAGTCCAGCAAAATAAACATGTTGGATCCCAAAGAGGTCGTTGTGGGTGAGAACGAGGCGTGGAACGCAGGGAGTGAGAACGAGGCTTGGATCTAAGTGGGAACTGGAGGGTTAATATAAACTGGGGCCGAATGTTGCTCACTCCTTGGCTACATTGATAATTTGGAGCAAGTTGTAGTGGTTATGGTGCTTATAGTTACCCCCACAGAGATGTTGTTGGCATGACTACCCACACTTTAGCAGTAAAATTAAATTAGTAACATATTCTTCAAGTGTAATGTGAGTAACATATTTATTTAGCAATTTTTATTCTTGTCCCAAACAATACATTTTGCAAAACACTTGGCCTCACACTTTCAAAAGAGCTTTACATTACACACTGGCCAAGGCAATGCTGCTACAAGACTCCAAGGGAGGAATTCAATTATAATGTGTACATTGCAACTATATCACATCATGGGATATCCAAAATAAAGTAAATATTAGCTCTAAATACTTATTTTAGTACAGGGGGTAGTGTTATTAAAAGGAAACATAAAAAGATGAAAAACAAACTGTACATTTGAGCAACATTAATATTATGTAGCGCCAACAGATGCCGTAGCGCTTTACAATATTATTAGAGGGGAGATTTAACTATAAATAGGACAATTACAAGAAAACGTACAAGAACAATAGGTTGAAGAGGGCCCTGCTCAAACGAGCTTACAGTCTATAGGAGGTGGGGTATAAAACACATTACGAAAGGAAAAAGCAATCAAATAAGGTGTGAGTGAAGCAGAGCTGGAGGAGACAGTAAAGTGCTACCCTTTAGGAGAGAGCAAGAGACAGGTACGTGAGGTAGAGGTTACTCTGGGAGGGCATAAGCTTTCCCAGAGATGGGTTTTAAGGCACTCTAGGGGAGAGTCTGATGGAGGTAGGCAGGCTGTTCCCTAGGAAGGGAGCCCCCCACCAGAAGTTTTGCAAGAGCGAGTTGGCTGTATGGGTGCGAGCAGCGGACATGAGAAGGTCACGAGCAGAGTGGAGAGACTGAGAAGGGGCATACCTATGGATCTGTGAGGAGATATAAGAGGGGCTAGAATTGTTCAATGCTTTATAGGTATGGGTTAGCACTTTTAATTGACTCCTATAGGATAAAGGAAGCCAATGTAAAGACTGAGAGAGGGGTTAGGTGTGAGAAGACTTACTAGAGAGGAAAATCAGTCTGGAAGCAGCAGTCATTACAGACTGTAGAGGGGCAATACAGCTTTTGGGAAGACCAATTAGGAGAGAGTTACAATAGTCCATGCGAGAAATTACTAGAGCATGGACAAGCTCTTTAGTAGTATCTTGTGTAAGAAAGGGGCGGATGCAGGCAATATTTTTAAGGTGGAATTGGCATGATTTCACAACAGACCGGATCTGAGGCTCAAAGGTGAGGCCAGAATCAAAAGTAACGCCAAGATAACGTGCTTGTAAGGATGTCCTGATATGGGTACCACCAATCTGAAGGGAGAGCGAGAGAGGAGGATTAATATTAGGAGGAGGAAAGACAAGAAGTTCTGTTTTGGAAAGATTTAGTTTCAGAAAGCGGGAGGACATCCAATCAGATATAGAAGAAAGGCAAGAGGTGACATGTTGCAGAACATCAGGGGAGAGATCCGGGAAGGAGAGATATATCTGGGTGTCATCAGCATACAGGTGGTATTATAATCCAAATGAGGTAATAAGTTTGCCAAGAGAGTCAGTATAAAGAGAAAATAGAAGGGGACCAAGGACAGAGCCTTGGGGGACTCCAAATGAGACAGGACAAAGGGTGGAGGTATCATTAGAAAAGAAGATACTGAATGAGCGTTGGGTGAGATAGGAGGAAAACCACGAGAGGACAGAGTCACAGAGACCAAGTGACTGAAGAGTTTGGAGAAGGAGAACATGATCAACTGTGTCAAAGGCAGCAGAGAGGTCAAGAAGAATTAGTATGGAGTAGTGACCTTTGGATTTAGCTGTAATAATGTCGTTAGTGACTTTAATAAGGGCAGTTTCAGTAGAGTGGAGGGGGCAGAAGCCAGACTGTAGAGGGTCAAGGAGAGAGTTGGAGTTGAGGAAGCAGGCCAGACGGATAAAGACTAGTCTTTCAAGAAGCTTTGAGGGAAAAAGGGAGCAGGGATCTAGTATGATAGAAGGGGAGGATGGGTCAAGACGTGGTTTTTCTAAAAGAAAGATTTTTTATGCACTCATAAACTAAAATAAGGAGTTGAATTATTCATGTCCATCCATTAATTCTTAATGGTGTACTGTCTGCAAGCACCATAACTACTACAGCGCACTATAGTAATTTTGGTACGTGGAGTACGCTAGCTACACCACAGAGTAAGCTCTCAAACCATTTCCAAACTGTATGACACTTACCACTTCACTTCAAATTAAGGGTTTTGCCTTCTTTTGGATTAACATGATATATGGGTTTGTTTTTTAAGGTTGTACTGCTCTGCTGGCAGTACAATGGCCGAGGGTTGCATGGGAAAGGTGAGTTATATTTACTTCAGCCTGACCCTTGCAGCCTCCACCATCTTCTTTCTGCAGGTCCTCTTCAGTTCCTGGTCTCTCCAGCTGCCTTGAGTATGCGCAAGAGTACAACATTGAGGTCTGTCGGATCCTTATGGTCTACTGGGTCAGGGCGGCACAGTGCAGAGGGATCTGCTCACACTCTACTTTTCTTGCACAGCTCCCTTGCGTGTCCTGTAATGATACCAGAACCATGATGTGATGTCATGCTGGCTTCTCACTATAAGGTGTAGATGTGAGCAGTGCAAGAAGAGCACCATGATCCCATTAACCACACTAGGCCAATGAGAAAGAATTCACTCCCAGTTTCTCAGGTGTGTGTGTGTGTGTATACATATATATATAATCTCAAAAAACAAAAAGGTTATGGTGAGGAAAAAAATGTGATTGAAAACCCCTTCCACCTGAAGTCTGTGCATAGTTAATACAATGTTAAACAAATATCTGCACACCAGTTAAGCCATAAGACTTGCTTAAGGCCGTAGCTTTATTTAGGGTATTTAGAGGCATTACCAAACACTTTAAATTAATTCCATAACCATTTAATACCATAACCATTTCACCAAGATTAAAATTTAACAATCCGCCCTTGAACCAGCCAGATGGCTTAAACCTTAAGCCTCAATCCACCTCGTATTTGAGGCAACCTTACCCCAAGCCGCAATGGCAGCAAACCTCTGCCATTTGCGGCCCCTTCCACAAGCCTGCGGCCTTTTCTATTCATTCTTGTAAACCATTATTAAAAATGTCAATTCCAAACTCTGATAGATAAACTCCATCCTTAAAGTAAATCTCTTTACCTCCATTTTCCAAATCCACATGCCTCACACTTATACCTCCTAAAAACGGCATGAACTTATAAATGGCTCTATTCACTTTACACCTGACTCTTTCCACAGCCTTCAAACCCCACTGCTTGTTCCATATTAGTCGCGTCCCGATTTCAGAAAATATTAAAAACATATTGGGGAATCTCGCTTTAACTTCACTCAGAAGATTCTTAATGCAAAATATAAGCTGCAAAGATCTAATATTACCAATGTCACTTCCTCCAATGTGCAAAATAATACATTTAGGATCAGGGAATTTACTCGCACAAACTTCGAGTCCCAAACATCTAATCTATTCTTAAAGGATCACTATAGAGTCAGGAAAACAAAGCGGTTTTCCTGACACTATAGTGCCCCCACCCTCAGGGTGCCCCTCCCGTGGGGCTGAAGGGGTTAAACCACCTTCAGCTAGTTACCTTAGTCCCTCTGCGCAGGTGACCTCTCCTCCCACTCCGAAGTCAGCTCCCCCGTCGTCACAGGAGCCGAATGCGCATGCACGTCAAGTGCCGCGCGCGCATTCAAAGTGTCAATAGGAAAGCATTTCTCAAGGCTTTCCTATGGACGCTCTGCGCGATGGAGGCATAATATGTCTCCAGCGTTGCAGATGCGCCTCTAGTTGCTGTCCGGAAGACAGCCACTAGAGGCTGGCTTAACCTCAAATGTAAACATAGCAGTTTCTCTGAAACTGCTATGTTTGCATCTTAAGGGTTAAAATCTGAGGGACCTGGCACCCAGACCACTTCATTGAGCTGAAGTGGTCTGGGTGACTATAATGTCTCTTTAAACTCCTTTCCAAAAAACCATAAACTTGTCCTCATCCAATGTCAAATTTGGGCCATATGATTTCTCGGCTGCTCTTCTCTGTGCCCAAAAGATGAATGAGTGCCCAACTATCCAAATAGACACTGGTGAGGAAACTAGAATAAAGAAAGAAAATGTTACCATCACATATAACATTGAATTACATTAAATCTGGACGGACATAAAGCTTGTAACAATCCAACTTCCACCTTCCAACTCTCTTTATACAGTCAGGTCCATAAATATTGGGACATCGACACAATTCTAATATTTTTGGCTCTATACACCAACACAATGGGTTTGAAATGAAACAAACAAGATGTGCTTTAACTGCAGACTTTCAGCTTTAATTTGAGGGTATTTAAATCCAAATCAGATGAACGGTGTAGGAATTACAACAGTTTGTATATGTGCCTCCCACTTTTTAAGGGACCAAAAGTAATGGGACAGATTAACAGTCATAAATCAAACTTTCACTTTTTAATACATGGTTGCAGATCCTTTGCAGTCAATTACAGCCTGAAGTCTGGAACGCATAGACATCACCAGACGCTGGGTTTCATCCCTGGTGATGCTCTGCCAGGCCTCTACTGAAACTGTCTTCAATTCCTGCTTGTTCTTGGGGCATTTTCCCTTCAGTTTTGTCTTCATCAAGTGAAATGCATGATCAATCTGATTCAGGTAAGGTGATTGACTTGGCCATTGCATAACATTCCACTTCTTTCCCTTAAAAAAACTCTTTGGTTGCTTTTGCAATATGCTTCGGGTCATTGTCCATCTGCACTGTGAAGCGCCGTCCAATGAGTTCTGAAGCATTTGGCTGAATATGAGCAGATAATATTGCCCGAAACACTGCAGAATTCATCCTGCTGCTTTTGTCAGCAGTCAAATCATCAATAAATACAAGAGAACAAGTTACATTGCCAGCCATACATGCCCACGCCATGACACTACCACCACTATGCTTCACTGATGAGGTGGTATGCTTTGGATCATGAGCAGTTCCTTTCCTTCTCCATACTCTTCTCTTCCCATCACTCTGGTACAAGTTGATCTTGGTCTCATCTGTCCATAGGATGTTGTTCCAGAACTGTGAAGGCTTTTTTAGATGTTGTTTGGCAAACTCTAATCTGGCCTTCCTGTTTTTGAGGCTCACCAATGGTTTACATCTTGTGGTGAACCCTCTGTATTCACTCTGGTGAAGTCTTCTCTTGATTGTTGACTTTGACACACATACACCTACCCAGTGGTGTATCCTGGTTTTGTGCTGCCCTAGGCAGGACAAAACTCAGGCACCCCCCCGCGCCACCCCCACCCGCGCAACCGCCACCCAACCTTCCCCCCTGCTCCGCCTTCTAAATACACACACACACATTCACTGACAGATACGCATTCACTAGCTAACAGAAACACACAGTCACTAACAGACACACACTCACTAACAGACACACACACTCACAGGCAAACACACACACTAACAGACATCCACACTAACAGACATCCACACTAACAGACATCCACACTAACAGACACACACACACTAACATACATACACTAACATTAACATACACACTAACACTAACAGACACTAACACTAACATACACACTAACAGACACAAACACTAACATACACACTAACAGACACAAACACTAACATACACACACTAACATACACACACTAACAGACACACACTAACAGACACACTAACAGACATCCACACACACACACTAACATACACACACTAACAGACACAAACACTAACAGACACAACTAATAGACACACACTAACAGACACACTAACATACACACTAACATACACACACTAACAGACATCCACACACACACACACTAACATACACACACTAACACACACTAACAGACACAAACACTAACATACACACTAACAGACACAAACACTAACATACACACACTAACATACACACACTAACAGACACACTAACAGACATCCACACACACACACTAACATACACACACTAACAGACACACACACTAACAGACACACTAACATAAACACACTAACAGACATCCACACACACACACACTAACATACACACACTAACATACACACTAACAGACACAAACACTAACATACACACACTAACAGACACACTAACATACACACACTAACAGACATCCACACACATACATACACACACTAACACTAACATACATACACACACTAACAGACTTCAACACACACACTAGTGTTTTTTTTATTTTTTTTTATTTAACCCCCCCCCAGCCTCCTTACCTTTGGTAATGCTGGGGGGGGGGGTTCTTCCTCTCCCTGGGGTCCAGTGGCTGAGGGCGTGCGGCCGCCGAGGGAGCTCTTCCCCTGAGCGCTCTGCTCTGCTCAGCTCCCTTGCGCGTCGCCAGCAGAGTGAGGCTGGGAGCCGGAATATGACGTCAACAACCCGGCTCCCAGCCTCACTCTGCTGGCGGCGCGCGAGGGAGCTGAGCAGAGCGCTCAGGGGAAGAGCTCCCTCGCCGGCCGCCCGCCCAGCGCTGCAGCCACTGCCGCCCAGCGCCCAGAATGTCTGTTAGCCGTGAGGCTAACAAGACATTTGCCTTGGGCATTTGGGGGGCGGCGTTTTTTGCCGCCCCCTGAAAAATGCCGCCCAAGGCAAATGCCTTGTTTGCCTCGCGGCTAATACGCCCCTGCACCTACCTCTGGAGAGTGTTCTTGATCTGGCCAACTGTTGTGAAGAGTGTTTTCTTCACCAGGGAAAGAATTCTTCGGTCATCTACCACAGTTGTTTTCAGTGGTCTTTTGGTGTTGCTGAGCTCAACGGTCCGTTCTTTCTTTTTAAGGATGTTCCAAACAGTTTATTTGGCCACACCTAATGTTTTTGCTATCTCTCTGATGGGTTTGTTTTGTTTTTTTCAGCCTAGTGATGGCTTGCTTCACTGATAGTGACAGCTCTTTGGATCTCATTTGAGAGTTGACAGCAACAGATTCCAAATGCAAATAGCACACTTGAAATGAACTCTGGACCTTTTATCTGCTCCTTGTAAATGGGATAATGAGGGAATAACACACACCTGGCCATGGAACAGCTGAGCAGCCAATTGTCCCATTACTTTTGTTCCCTTGAAAACTGGGAGGCACATATACAAACTGTTGTAATTCCTACACCGTTCACCTGATTTGGATGTAAATACCCTCAAATTAAAGTTGAAAGTCTGCAGTTAAAGCACATCTTGTTAATTTCATTTCAAATCTATTGTGGTGGTGTATAGAGCCAAAAAGAATAGAATTGTGTCTATGTCCCAATATTTATGGACCTGACTGTATCATCTTGCCTAAGGCCCCGTACGCTGGCCTCAGTGGAATACGGAATAAGTGAGAAGAAACATTTTCTTTTCCTAAACCTGACAGCTTCAGGCATTTCTTCAACACAGCTCTGAATTGGAATTGTGTTGAAGGCGAGCCGTCACTGTGAATTCATAAAGGACCCGGCTCAGCGGCTCTGATGTCCAAAAATTCCTCCACACCTTCCATCGGGCAGAACTTTTGTTCGTTGATAGCATAAATTACCATCTTCTGACCTTTACTTTCCCTGTCTGTTTTGGACACCTTAATCAAAAGAGTTAAGCTTTCTTCTCTAACTAGCACATATTCAATAAATAAACCTGATCATTTAAATTTAGAGGCTGAAATGAGTTCACTCAACCTGAGAGCAGCAAAGAAAGCCAATAAAAAAGCCACTTTGAATTAATGAACTTCAAAATCATCAAAGCAGTTGAACCTTAATGAACTAATTAATTTTTTGAGCAGATTGAACGAAATAGGTCTTCTTTTATCTTTAACTCTTGGCCTTCTTGAGTAACCTTTTAATAACTGCTGAATTAAAAAATTCATAACAATTTAAATCCCTCCCAGCAACTTTAAGAAAAACATAATCCCACATGATGTTCTCTGTATCGAAGATATGGGTGTATTAGCTTTAAGCATTTTAAGAAAAAATTTAACTGCGAGATCTAAACTTGCATTAAGGGGATCTGCCTGTTTTTGAGCTCAAAAACCACAACTACATAACCACGATTTAAAATAGGCTGCCCATGTTGCCTTGGCAACCAAATTCTGTACAATTTATTTCACTTTGGTGATATCAACTCCCATATTCGATT